AAAATACAATCTAATTATCATCAATAATTGGTACATTATGTGACCCTAATGAGTACAATCCATTTTATTTTTCAAAAAACACAGTGAGTTAAAAATCAAATCACAAATTAAGTGAATTGATAGTTAAAAAAACATAATATTTTTTTTCAAAAAACACGGTGAGTTAAAAATATCAATTACAATTTTTTTTTTCAAAATACAATATAATCATTATCAATAATTGGTATTTTAAAAATCAAATCAGAAAAAAATCAAATCAAATCACAAATATTTTTATGCTATCTAACTACAATCATATTTTTTTCATAAATAATTGTAAATAAAAACCATTAAAACAGTAAATAAAAGATTAAATCACATTTAAAAAAAAAATCATTGAACAAACTACAATTACATCACATTTTTCCCATAATAAAAAAAATAAATAAACGAAAAAAAGAACCATTGACTAACTACAATCACATTAAAAAAAAAAAACATTGAACTAACTACAATCATATTTTTTTCTTTGTGAGTGTTTATGTTTATCTAACTTCAATCATATTAAAAATAAAATTAAAATAGTAAATAAAAAGATTAAATAACATTAAAAAAAAATACCATTGAACTAAGTACAATAATCATATTAAAAAAAAGAGTCATTGAACAAACTACAATCACATCACATTACAATGACATTTTTTTCTTTGTGAGTGTTTATGTTTATTTAACTTCAATCATATTAAAAATAAAATTAAAATAGTAAATAAAAAGATTAAATAACATTAAAAAAAATCATTGAACTAACTACAACAATCATATTAAAAAAAAAGAGTCATTAAACAAACTACAATCACATCACATTTTTTCCATAATAAAATAAATAAATGAAAAAAAAAGAACTATTAAACTAACTACAATCACATTAAAAAAAAAAAATCATTTAACTAATTATAATCACATTTTTCTCTTTGTAAGAGTTTATATTTATCTAACTTCAATCAAATTAAAAAATCAAATTATAATTACTTCAGCAAACATTTGTTGGCACGAGGCGGGGTACCCTAGAGGTCATATCAATCGATTTGTCTCGATTTTATACTTAGCAAAATGGATTGAGACAAATTAGTAATTAGTCAATTAATTACGAAATAATAAAAATTTTATAATTTTAATTATTAATATTTATAATATTTTTTAAGCAGTGACTTTGATCTAGTCTAAGATCAGATTAAATTGTGTTGTTGGGTCCGTGGTGGTCTCGTTTTGATAATCCGAACCGTTCAATGTGTAGAACTCGTCGAGTACTATATGCCTGTAAAAAATCACGTGGATCGGATATTGATAACTATGTGAACAAAACAGTTTTTTATCAACCGTTAATTGTTTCACCGTCTATTTTTTTTTACAAAACTGATTTGATCACATAGTTATTTATATCCGATCAACGTGATTTTTTACAAACATATAATACTTGACGATTTCTACACATTGAACGGTTCGGATTATCAAAACGGGCCCAAAAAATAGAGCCCACAGGCCGAACTGAACGAGTCCAGTCTTAATCTCAACTTGAGACAAGTTGGACCCTATTTTTTATACTGTATAATTAATTTTTTCTGATAGGACTGTCAAGATATTCCCGAAATGAATTTTGCTAAACCAATGTTTTTAGAATTAAAATTTTATAGGAAAAATTTTGATGTTATGAGTTGGGTGGAAAAATGGAAAAACATTTGGTTGATCATGTTCACTTTTCCAAACTCATAAATTGGTTCTTCTTCTTCCTTTCGCAACCCAACAAATGGACGGAGTTTGCATACAAGTTGTCTTCTATACACATATAAGCCTATTTTAGAAAATAGATTAAAAGTTAATTTATTATTATTATTTTTTAAAAAAATATACAAGAAAAATAAAGATGTGATTTGATTTAAAAATTTTAAAAGTTAAAAAACTGAATTTTCACTTAATTGTCAGAATAGATCATATATACTTACATATTCAATATACAAAAAAAAAAAAAAAAAAAAGAAGAAGAGAGAGTTGAGTTTGGTTTAGTTTTTGAATGGTAATTCCAATAAAAAAAAATCAAAACTCATAAGTGCTCGTTTGGCTAAGATTTTGGGACTAAAAACGTACAAAACGACAAAATAAATTATATAAGTCAATAAGACAAAATATCACTTTTTGTCTATAATTGTTATAATTTTTCTCTCACAAAAGTAAAAAAAGTCCCAAAATAAAAATCAAACGAGGCTAAAAAAGCCAAGCTAAAAAAGTCTCAGGCTAAAAAAGTTGGCTATATTAGCCAATGCCAAACGACCCCTAAACACATAATTCAAAACTCTTTTTTCAAAACTTATAACTAAATACACAATTCAAAATTTAATTCAAAATTTATCTTCAAAACTCATAACCAAACACATAACTCAAAATTCAATTCAAAAATTCTTTTTTCAAAATTCTATTTCAAAATATTTTTTTATTCTATTCTTTAATTTTTTTTTATTTTCTTTATTTTTTAAAAATTTCATAAAATATTTTATTTATTTTTATTTTTGAAGAAAAATATTTTTTATTTTTTAAATTTTATATTTTTTTCAAAAAATAATTTTTTGTTTTTTTATTTTTGAAGAAAAATAAATATTTTGTTATTGTTTTAAGTGTTGGCCAAATAATTTGTTACGATTTAAATATATATATGGAAGATCCAAAATTGTTTAATATTTTAAAAATAAAATTAAATATTTAAAATTAAAAAAATATTTTAAAAAATGCAGTGCACAAATGCAATAAATACAACGTACATTAAAAATAAATAAATAAATATTTACAATAAAAAATATTTATTCAAAAAAATAAAAATAAAATATTTTAAAAAATAAATCTAAAAAATTTAAAAATATTTATGTGCACATGTTACAATGTGATTTTTGGAAATTTGGTGAGAAATAGATTCTTTGATTTTTTTGATCAATTTTATCTTTTTATAAGTGAAAAATGTATGAAGTGACGTGACTTAAAATAAGTAAAAAGTCAAAAAATTGATTTTTTTTTTTTTTTTTTTTTCCCTTCTGATCTCTCAGGCGATCTCACCGAACACGATCTCGAATCGTCGTCGTTTTTGTGGATCGGATGTCAGGTCGGATCCATTGAAAATGAAAAATGCTTGGGAGTACTAATTAGTGCTCCCACTAATTAGGTGGCAGTGAGTCCCGTCATTAATGATGTGATGTTTTGGTCTTGGAGTTGTTTTTTTTTTTTTTTTTTTACTTTTTTAATGCATTAGTGCTATTAGTGGTGATGTTTTTAGTGGGATGAATCATTGTTGATTGAAAAATTAATATTACATTTTGAGGTGGTTTAGGTACAAAGTAAAAACTCAGTTTTTTAGTTTTAAAATTTTTTGTCAAAAAAATCACAAAAAGTTACAAAAAAAAGAAAAAAGAAAAAGAATAAAAAAATAACTTTTTAGCACAAAAAACCCAAAAAAATCATTAAAAAAAATCAAAAAATCAACTTTTTACTAACTTTTTAAAACACTACTATATCACAAATTCTTTTTTAAATTTTAAAGAATAATTTTATATGCACTAATTAGGCTTGGTTTGAGAAGTGAGTTGACTTTTTAGCATTTTGATTTTTTTGGCTATTTTAGCCTGGGCTAAAAAGTTTGGTTTGGAAAGAGCTTTTTAGTTTTTTGATTTTTTTTGTGAGAGAAGAGTGTAATGATTATGAGTTGAATGTGATGTTTTGTTTTTTGTGGCTAAAATAGCCCATTTTGTCTTTTGTGACTAAAATAGTGAAAAAAGACTAGAAACCAACTTGCCAACCGGTGCTGAATGTATCAATTGATGATGTGACATAATTTAAATTTTTTTTAATATTTGTAATGTGATTAATGAGTGGAGTCAATAATAATTCATAACTAATGTTAGTACATTAATTAATATGCTAATTGGTGTATATAATACCACCGAATTTAAAAATACGATTATTAAAATAATGTTATATGTACCAATTAGTATACTAACTAGTGTACCAATTGATGATGTGACATAATTTAAATTTTTTTTTATATTTATAATTTGTATAATGAGTGAGGTCAATAATAATGTCATAATTAGTATTGATACACTAGTTTGTATACAAATTATAAATGCTAAAAACATCTTCAATTATGTTACATCATCAATTGATATACTAGTTAGTGCACTACATATCTTAAATTATGTTACATCATCAACTAGTATACCAATTGATAATGTAACATAATTTAAGATGTTTTTAGTATTTATAATTTGTATAATCAATGAGATCAATAATAGTGTCATAACTAATAGTATTGTGCACTATTTAGTACACTAATTAGTGCACATACACCACTCATAAAAAAAATTATTAATTCATCTAATATTTAAACAAAATATCATTTCAGTATAATTTGGATAAAATAATTACATATCAATGAAAAAAATTACAATATACTAAAAAATAAATATACTCCATCCGTCCCAAAATATTAGTCCCTTATTCTATTTTTCATTGTCCCAAAATATTAGTCCCTCTTCAAAAATCAAATACAAAAATAATATAAATTTCCTATTTTACCCTTCTTTTAAATTAATAAACAACATAAAAAGTACAATTATGCATTGATACTCCCAAAAAATGTACTATCAAAAGAATAATTTTGAAAAATCAACTTTTTTGAAATGCAATAATTGTACTACCAAAAAAAGTTAAATTCCCCAAAAAAGACCATTATTTTGAGACGGAAGGAGAATTATTTTATGAAATTTCCATATTTTCCCTAATATTTATACATGAATTCTTTTTTAAAAAAAATGCAAAATGCCACGTCCTCACGAGAGACGAAGTCTGACGGACTACCACATGTGGCAGCACACATTCCTTAAAAAAAAATTTATCCATTTCTTCTTCTTCTTCTTATTATATATACTTATATTTAAATATAATTTTTTTTTTTTGCGGGTGTATGGAAATCAGAAATGAAGAGATTAAAAATAAATACATAAAAATATAAAGTGAAAATAGACATGAAAATTCACTACCACGATGACAAATTTTAAAATGACAATAACACCCTCCATCCACCATCGAATTTACATCAACATACCCTCCTCCTCCTCTTCCGACTCTGACACCCCAACCATACAATAATCAACAGCGAATAATCATATGGAAAAATATGAGAAATCAACCAGAACCAGACGCATCTCTCTCTCTCTCTCTCTCTAGGTTGGGATTGAGAATTCGATCTTTGATCTCTTCCTCTCTCAATCTTTCATTTCTTCAAACCTTGAGAATTTTGGCTGCCCTAACCACCGGATTTTCTCGCGCAATCGCTTCTCTTCCAGCAGCCTTGTAATCGAAGCTACAATCATGGCGATCCGAGTACCGATGCTCCGAACAGAACAGATCTCCGCATCGACATCGGAAACCGGTCAGCCCGACCTTTCTCTTACAACCGGAGCACCGGTTCACCTCCCGTCTCTTCACCTCCGTCGCCGCCGCCGCCACCACCAGCGGCTGCTGAAGCCGAGCACGACGAAGATGAGGAGGAGGAGGTGGAGAAGTCAGATCTGTTGATCTCTCAGGCGATCTCACCGAACACGATCTCGAATCGTCGTCGTTTTTGTGGATCATGTTATTGTCTGGAGGCGGATCTGATCTGGATGAGTTGGAAGAAGTTGAGTCGTCGGAGCTAGAGAGTTTTGGAGGTGAGGGGATCGGGGTGGTGCGTATGAGGGTTTCAGGGACCTTGAGCTCGGTCTCTTCTTTCTCTCTCTTCTGAGCCATGTGGTTTGATGTTGTTGTGGTGGTGGTGATGATGGTGAGGAGAGAGAAACTATAAGGGAATAAAGCGAGTTTGGTTTGGTTTGGCCCTTTCGGGTTTTTAGAAAGAGAAAGTGGAGAGAGAGAGACAGAGAGAGAGAGAGAGTCTGGAAAGGTCGGTAATGGTGGTGATGGAATATGGGCCTCATTAGGACGCGCATCAAACGTTTTGGTGCTTTCTTATGACGATAATACCCTTATGACTTTTATTTATTACCTCTGGTGTCCTTCCTGTTACTTTCATTTGACAAGACATAAAATATAATTTGATTTTTTTTATATATTTTTTTTTGTAAAAAAGTATATAAAAAGTGTAAAATTATGAAATGTGAATAAAATTTTTGTAAGTTAAACAATTAACAGGAAATTAAAATATTTTTATTTAATTTTTTTATGAAAAAATATGTATTATAATAACAAAATGATATTACAGTAACTTAAATAAAATAAAAATATAATAAATATTTATATTTTTAAGTGGTGGTCAAATAATCCCAATACATATTTGGTGTCGTTTGGGAAGTGAATTAACTTTTTAATTTTTTGACTTTTTTAGTTATTTTAATTTGAGCTAAAAAATTTAGTTTGAGAAATTTTTTTTGACATTTTAACTTTTTTAATTTTTTTTGTAAGAGAAGAATGCAATAATTATGAATTAAATATGATATTTTATTTTTTGTAATTAAACTAACTTATTTTATCTTTTATGATTAAAATAATCAAAAAAAAAATTCCAAATAGCTCTACTCAAACGGAACCATTGTGGAGTATTATTCTTCGCAACTGAACGTTTTTTTTTTTTAATCAAACAACTGAACGTCTTGGGAAATGTGATTTTCGAATCTACATGACAATTATGTAGTGCTTCTCATCTTTTCTATCCAGTCGCTACAATCGGGTAATGGGGGATCTACATTCTGTGCGTTTTGGAAAGCTGATAAAAAGTCAGCCTCTAGCTTTTTTTATCAATTTTGTATTATATCACATTTCACATAATTTATTTATAAAAAGACAAAATAAATTAAAAAATTTAAAAAATCTATTTTTTACTAACTTTTTAAAACACATAGTGTGAGTTTGTATATGATTTATTTATTTTTTTGATTTTTAATTTTTTATAAAAATATTTGTAAAAAAATAAAAATAATAGTATAATAAAAATAAACTAATAAATCAATAAATAACTTATTTGTCATTGATTATTAAAGAATATATATATATATATATATAAAGTATATATTTTCAAAAACAAAATAATTTTTATGGACCTACTATTTGCTACTAAATCTCATATATTTTATTTATTATTGAAATTTATTTCCATATCACGCCATGTCATCAAATAATATTGATTCCACTTACTAGATGAGATCAATCTTAACAATTTTTTAAAATATGTTGCGTGTGAAAATCATTGTTTATATACTATATAGGAAGCATTTTAATTTTGATTGTGTCAATCGTTACATTTCAGGCTTTATTTGAGAAGTAGATTGATTTTTAAATTTTTTAATTATTTTAGATTGTAATTAAAAAGTATCGCTTGAGTTATTTTTTTTGCTTTTTTATATTGTTATGAAAAAAAAAAATTATAATTTGAATGTGATATTTTTATATTATTGACTTTTTGATCTATATTATCTTTTTTATGACTATTTTAATCTGATAATCTCGTATTTATTTTATATTTTTGTGATTATTTTAACTTAATAACTCCATGCCAAACGAGGGTTAATACATTCTATACCTATGATTGACCAATGTGATTTTGTTTTACGCATTCAAAGTAACAAATATTCAAAACAAAAAATAAAATAATAAGATAAGCAATGATCACATTTAGTGCATCGTTACGTAAAGGATTTAATCTTTGGTTTGTTTTCTAATTTGATGGCTGGTTTGATTCGTCTTCTTTAATTGGCTGATTGGCTTCGAATGTTTTTTCTTTGAATAATTTTATACATATTAATAATCCAATTAAAAATCAGAGGCGGAGAGATAAAGAGGGTCTAGGGGTCACATGCCCCCTAAGTTTTGTTTTTTTATTTTTTAATTTTATTTTAAATATAAAGAAAATATTTTAAATAAAAAAATTTATAAAAATATTATTTAGAGTGAAATGTCAATAACATTTTTAAAATTATGAGAACAATAATGGATGTTTTAATTAAAAATAAAGAGATTATGATAAGTCATAGTATTATTATTTATGAAAATTTCAGTACAATGGTGATATCTAACATTATCGACATATAAACATAATTAATTTCAATGAAAGTATGAAATTTATTAGATTGTTAGTATATCTGATATATAAGATTCATCCTCCATATATTTCTTTACTATTGGTTGATAATATTACATGTTAATGATGACGTGATATTACCATTAGTATTATATTGAATTTTTACTCATGTTTTGTATAAAAAATTACTTTATCATTATATAATTTAGGATAAATTACATTGACACTCAATGAGATTTATGTTTATTACAGTTTTTCCCTCACCTTTTAAAAATTTACCTTCCCCTTCCTGAGGTTAAAAGTTTTATTACAGATTGCCCCATGAGGTTTAAAGTATCATAACAGTTTCCCTCTCACCGTAATGATCATCATACATAAAATTAAATTAACAGGGGAGTCAGTGTAATTTTCCAAATGTGAGGGGGTGAACTGTAATAAATATAAATCTTAGGAGGTGTCAGTATAATTTATCCATTTTAATTTGACACAATACTCAAGAAGAAAAAAAGAAGAAGTTGTTTTCCTATACAATAATAAATTATCAAAATTGTTTATTGAAAAATATTTCTTATATCATTAAAAATCGTTAATTGACTTATTAATTTATTTTATTACAGATTGCCCTCTGAAGTTTAAAGTTTCATAACAGTTCCCCTCTCACCGTAATGATCATCATACATAAAATTAAATTAACAGGGGAGTCAGTGTAATTTTCCAAATGTGAGGGGGTGAACTGTAATAAATATAAATCTTAGGAGGTGTCAGTATAATTTATCCATTTTAATTTGACACAATACTCAAGGAAGAAAAAAAAAGAAGTTGTTTTCCTATACAATAATAAATTATCAAAATTGTTTATTGAAAAATATTTCTTATATAATTAAAAATCGTTAATTGACTTATTAATTTATTTATTAACAAAATAGTTAACTGAAAAATACTTTTCATATCATTAAAAATTGTTAATTTACTTAATGATTTACTTATTAATAAAATTGGTCATTTGTTATGTTAGTATGATTTATGTATTAATAAAATTAGTTATATATATATATATATATATATGCGTGTGTGTGTATTTTCTTCTATTTCTTTATTAGTTTAGTGAATTATCTTAGTCGTTTTTATTTTTATTTTTATTTAATGAGATAATTATCTTAGTATTTGTTTAAAATTTATCTATTGAGAAAAGCTTACCCATTATAATTTTTTTTATAATAAATTCGGAAGGAATACATCATTAGGTGTATAATAAATAAAAAAATAATACATATCATACTACATAATTCTATCATATATCTAATGATTTATTCTATTCAATTTCATATAATAACATTTCAATTTTAAAAAAATTATCAAAATATAAAACTGAAACGTACTATAATAATAATAACCCGTTTCAAATTCGGATATTTGATTGAAAGGTACAGTTAAGATTTATTATGATTCCTATTTTAATAATTTAAATAGTTTATTTTTGTAAAGTTTTTCACATGTATAATTCATACCAAAAAAAAATAAATAATATGATAATTGTAATTTGTCTAATTTATTCGATTTGTCATTAATTTTTTTTTTTAAAAGATAGGCAATTCGTCAATTTTTGTTTACCACAAATGCGATAAATTGAACCGACCATGAGTATGATATATACAAAACAAAAAAAAAAAATTATTCTAATTAGCAAAATTAAATATTTAATGGGCCTTACGGACTTGAACTGCACTTTTCAATTCAATCTATCTATCTATATTACTATATATGTGAGTATATGACTTGGTATCTAATAGTGTGGTGGCTTTTTCTTCTATTACGTGACAAATTTTTTTATCTTAAAATAAAAAAATATTATTTAAAGGCGTGAGCAAGATTTGAATCCAAGATTTTGAGTTTTATTAGGGTTCGTTTGGGAAGTAAGTTGGTATTTTGGCTTTGTTGGCTATTATAATTTGGGGTTAAAAAGTCTCGTTTGGAAAGAGCTTTTGGTTTTTTTGGCCTTTTTGATTTTTTTGTGAGAGAAAGAATGTAATAATTATAGATTGGATGTGATATTTTATCTTATTGAACTTAAAGGCCTATTTTGTTTTTTGTGGCTAAAATAGCCAAAAAAGCCCCAAACTTAGCTTCCCAAACGAAACCTAAGAACACTCTTACCATTTAGACAACATACATATTATAATATTAATTTCTTTATTATTTATTTGGGTAAATTATAAATACATCCCCTGAGGATTGCTATAAGGCCTTCGGGTTTGTATCTAAAAATAATTTGGACCTACAAAATTTTTAGAGCCTCAGCCCAAAAAGAAACCCAGAATGAACTCAGAGCCTACTAACTATATTAAACAACAATTTAGGCCAAGAAAATTTCTAGGGCCTCAGTACAAAACAGATGACTAAATACAAATAATGAATCTGCCACGTGTTTGGTTTTGATCTGAAAACTTATTTCCAGAATTTTTTTATTTTAAAATTTGAAAGTTAATTTGGTTAAAAAAAAAAACTAAAAAAATGATATTTAAGAATTTATTTTTGTCAAACCATTTTTTTTAAATGTCAAAAAAATTGTTTGAAAGTTTATTTTTGGTCTTGATTTTGTTATCTGAGTCTAAGCTTAAAAAAATTTACAATGAGACCAAAATTAGACAATTAAAAAAAGGAAGGGTTTGAAGCAATTTTGTGGGCAATTATTTTTGGTCATGATTTCATAATTTGTTAAATTTCAAAAAAATTGTTTGAAAGTTTATTTTTGGTCTTGATTTTGTTATTTGAATCTAAGCTTAAAAAAATTTACTAGATAACAAAATTAGACAATTAAAAAAAAAAAAGGTTTGAAGCAATCTTGTGGGCAATTATTTTTACTCACATAATTTGAATTCGATTTGTTAATCTAAATTTGA